GGGAGGGAGAAAACTTAACTATTTTGTCCCATGGGATGAGTATGTAGAATTTAAGATTATGATTCAATCTAGGAAATATTTACTAATAATTTGATCTCAGAATTTTCCAAGCACTGAATCCTGTCTCATGAAGTATTAGAGCTCTCCATCATGTGTGTTTAAGGAAAGGCTGATTGGAAGGCACTGCAGAAGGGAACCTAAGTGATTTCTAAATTCATATTGTGTTCCCAAATAGTTTTTAATGTCCAATTATTCACACAAACACACACACACACACACACACACACACACACACCAGATGAAGAAATTGCCAAAGACCTGATTAACTAAAAGCCTAATAAACCTTCAAAGAGGTTGGAGGACATTGGCTGGCCACACTAATGGAATCCATCAATGATGGTGACTGGGATTGGTGGCAATGGTCCAGAAAGTATCGTCTGCAGTTCTGTATCATGTCTATCATGCCATGCTGCTATCAATTTTCTGCCTCCCTTAACTTCTACATATTGATCCCATGGAGCAAAAGAAATGAGTTTTCTCTCTCTTCTCTACGACAGTAAGACAAATTCCCTGATGAGTCCCCAATGTATGTACTGTAGCAGCTGTGGAAGTGAGGCTCCTGCACATGATTGATTATGTAATTTCAAACAGGAAAGGCCAAGATTATCCCTCAAAAGCAAAGGGCACAGCACTCACGAATGCCATAGTAACCCAGGTGTGGCTTTTTGCTGCTTTTTCAAATCTATCTGGCTTAGACTTCCACACCTCCACTTATCTGATATTGAGAACAAAGTGACATTTTTCTCAGCAGCATATTTGTCCACAGAGTAACAGAAGGTTGACATGTCTCATTTAGTGAGTTTTCTACACACAAATTTGTAGGAAGTAAATTTTAAAATTTGATATATGGTTTGCAAAAACTAATGGTCAGACTTGAATAATGACAAGCTTGTAAAATAAAAGTTCTAAAATGCAAAAAATTGCTTTTCATTTCTTAGCATAGAGTGTTTTGTTTCTTGGGTCTATTGATTTCTTGGGAGACTAATATTTTGCAATAGCATATATTGGGCTGATACACAGAGTGTAGCTCACAGCACTTGACGTTTTCTAAGACTTCTTGCTAGGATGTGGAATATATTCAAGATGAAAAGGTCACCATTGCAAAAGACCATGACATAGAAAATGAGGCTTAAAAATGATGCATATCTCAATAGTGAAGATGTGGAAACTGAATGTCCCTCGATGAATGAATGGATATAGGAAAAGGGTTGTTTACATTCAGTGGAATTTTCTTCAGCCTTAAAAAAAAGAAGGCAGTCTCGCCATACAACATGACAGGGGCAAACCTGGAGTAAGTAAAATAAAGCAGTCAAAGAAGGACAAATACTGTATGGTTCCACATACCTGAGGCATCTGAAACAGTCAAACCCCTAGCTGTCAGTGGCTGTGGTTAAGCCATGAAGAGATGAATTCAACAGGGGTAGGGTTTCAGGTATGTAACATGAGCATTCTTAGTCTGAGGAAATAAACTTTATTTACCAGTGTTGGGGAGAGACATTGTTGAAATGATACATTTCCTCTTCCCAATCATAGTTGGAAACATATTTTAAAATAATAAAAGCCAGTATATGTTAAGGAATTGCTATGCAGCAGGCACTTTGCCAAGTTTCCTCTGTGCATTACCTTGTTCAAACCTCACAGCAACTCTGTCAGATGAATGCTATTATTAGTTCCGTTACTTTATTATTACAGCAATAATAAAACTCCATTAATTATTATTATTATTATTGCATAGATGAAGAAACTGAGGCTCGGGCAGGGTGAAAAACTAGATATAAGGTGGAATGACAGCAGCACCTTAAAAGAAGTGACTGTTCACCTCTCTCCTCCCAGTCTCTCTTAATTTGCCCTCTTAATTCCTTACCTCCCATGCTAAGTTTTCATGTCTCATTCTATACTTGCCCTGCTACCTGTCTCATTCCCTCCACATTTTCCTCTCTTGGCTTTCAGCATGTCACATTTTCCTACATTTCCTCCTCCCTCTGAGGACTGATTTCAGTCTCTTAGGCTGGTATCCCATTCAATGTTGGGGTTTGCTTAAGGTTGAATCTTGGGCTTCCTCTTTTCTCCATACTCACTACCTATTGGTTTCACCCAGTCTCAAGGTTACAAAAACTGTCTATAGGTTGGTGGCTTTAATCTCCAACCTGGACCTTTGCTGTGAATGTCAAACTCTCGCATCCAACTACATACTCCACTTTTTCCTCATGGGTGTCTAAGAGACAACTCATGTCCAAGATTGCACCTCTCATGTTCCTCCAAATCTGCTCCACCCACAGTTGTTGGGTCTCGGTTGATGGTAATTCCATCCTCTGGTAGGAGTCAGCCTTTAGCCTTCTCTCTCTCATATCCCATGTGCCATCTGTCAGGATCTCCTACTTGCTCTACTTTTAAACTCTATTCACTTATTGGATTTCTTACCATCTTCACTGCTTCCACCCTGCTTAAATCTACCACAATTTCGGCACTAGTGTTTTCAACACTACCACTACTGCCTTTACAGCTATTATATCTTTAATTAATAGCTGTCACGTATTGAGTGCTTGCTCTGTCCTAAGCTGTTTACCTCTAGTAGCTGTCTAGCCTTGTTACAACCTATGAATTAAAAACTAATTAATATTCTAATTTCTTTGTTCAGACTCACAGAGAAGTAATATGCCTGGTTCATCACACAGCCAGTGAGAGAGCCTGAATTAAAATCTACAGTTTATTCTCGAAGTTTATGCTCTTAACACTACCACTGTCTTGTGGGGGAGCTGAGGAGAGGGGTACATTTCCCTTTGAAACAGATGATAAGTGTTAAAAGAATGAAGGCATGATGGAATTTTATATATGTGGAAATAGGTCCTTCCCAAAAGTCTAGGTAATGAAGACTGATTAATGTATTTTTTGCGTGAGTACCATGTACCAACCAATTCAGCAACCGCATTAGTTCTATTTTTTGAAGTGGTAAACTGATCAGGTCTCAGTGAAAAGAATATTGCGATACCAAGGAAAAGCGTTCTTGAGATTAAGGTGTTAATTATAATTGGCAATTATTTTAAAAGATTTCATATGATTTATTTATTTATTTTCCATTCTGGGTTTGAACTCAGAGCCTTGTGCTTGTTAGGCAAATGCTCTACCACTTCAGCCATGTCCTCTGCCCAAGAGATTTTGCATTATAACATAAATTCAGCTACCAAGAGGTCTGATATGAAACCTAAAGGTACTCTAAGTACTTTGCAGTGATCGCTGACACATTAATGTTATTTAATAAGTACCTAGAAGGAAGAAACTTTTAGAATACGATGTCTAGATAAAAGATCTGTGTCTATTTAAATTAAAAAATATCTAAAAAATTTACTGATGAATTAAATCAGGCTTTAAATTGCAAGATGGTTTCTTTCTCCTTTCCCTTCCTGCTTGGAAGCCAACAAAGCATCAGGTTATGTAAGAAGTCCAAACCAAAGGAGTTAGGGTGTCTGTAATACATAGGAAAGAAAATTCTGGAAAGTGTAATGTACCACCCGGCAGTCTGAGGACTGAGAGGCCGCAGCATCTGCAGATTTTTGTCTCTCCTGCTGAAGAAGTGTCTTTGTAGTCTCTGGAGAAAGTTCAGGTTGCTGTTTGTGGCTTTCGGGATTGTGTTCTGACTGGGGAGCTATCTGAATGGAAAGAGATGCTGTGTGTATCTCAGGCACTGGGTTAGGCGGTGGAGAGCAAGGCCTTTTGAGAAACGATGCTACTTCAAAAGGTTTGGAAAACTGTGGAGTATTAAAGGGACTGCTACTTCCTAGACCCTGGTGAGGGGTTAGTTTCAAGGTAGAAATTCTCCGAGTTTGAGAATCTTGCATGTAGTCCTCTTGTAGTAATGGGGTAGAGCTGTCAACAAATGGCCTTGGACCTGAGCTGGAAACTGCTAGTCTTGGATTAGTAATTTTTTGTGTATATGACATAGTTGTGTTGGATTCTTCAGAATATACAATGGTCTGGCTAGAATCTTCACTAGAGTGCATAGCTCCCTGACAATGTTTTCTGTTAGTAGAGGACTGTGTACAGGAAGGAGTCTGTGGGTTAGTTACTAATGAGTATAAAATGTCACCCTTTGTATGATTAATTATCAAGGGGTTGCAAAAACTCTCCTTTCTGGTTGGTAGAAGAGGTGCCTAGATGGCCAAAAGTGTCCAAAAAAAAAAAAAAAAACATTGAAGGAAAAATAGAGAGAGAAAGTCAAGTTAGTCATGAAAGAAACTGTCAACCCTGCCTTCAAGGTAAAACGTTAGATCTCTATATTGCACCATACATTTTGTTGACTGAATTGAACATTTTCATTCCCATTAGAATTCATTTTAATTTATTATTAACTACTGATAATAGGGGAAAAGAGTTGCTTTTGTTTTATTTCAGAATACATTATAAAATTTGCCTCCATCTGCATTCTGGGAAATTACATTAAAAGTGAGCACATGTTTTCTTGGTATATTTTTAGACCTTGAAGTCTATGATTTATTTAGTCACATTTTTTATAACATTTTTCATGTGTGTGGCACAATTCTAGTAATATCTCTAACTCAGAGTCCCTTTAGTTAACATAATGAACAGTTCTGTAACTCATATTTATTGAACACACAATGTATTGCTGACCTTATAACTTTGAAATTCAAAACATTCATGGTCAGCTTTTGAAGACTTTGAATAGATCCTAAATATTATGTTAGAAGCTGACCTTCTTTCACGAACTTAATCAGAAAAAAATCAAGGTGGTAAAAAAACACCTGTGCTGAATTAAAAAACTTGTTTTCCACCTTATAAATACAAGTCTGACAAACAAAGCAAACATGAAAGCAAAAATATATTAAAACTAAAACACTAGGAAAGATATTGCTTAGATTCCCCAGAGCAGTGATCTAATTACCATGCCTTAAATTAGCACAGTAGACAAGTATGTCCAGGATTACCTGAGTTGGTGATTTTTTTTCTTGGAGGTTTGGGCGGACGCTTCTAAAACCTTTTGCTGCAAGAGAGGAATATGTAGCATCTCCGTTCAGTGTCTCTTGATTTCGATCATTGTAAGGTCTCCAAGCTTTTATTAATGGAAAACAAATTGGATACAAAAATATCTATGTTCACTTAAACATTTTTTTAGAAAATTTATATTTACTTTTAAAAGTGAAATATTCTTGCTAGAATTTTAATTTAATATGCGTAACACTATATGGAACTTAAATTTTAATGCAAGGCCAACAAAGTGGCTGTGAATATGTGTCAAATCTCCTCATAAGAAATGCAATAGCTATGCAGAATGTCTTTTCTGTACCTGAGTCTGGTGATTGAGAATCACGACCTGCAAGAAAAAAAAATGTTGAAATTAATACCAGGGTGAAACAAATGAACACTTAGTGAAAAGAGTTGGCAAAGAACCACATGCGTTATTTTTGCAGACATTATCTCAGCTCTAAAACTGGGTATGTTAAATTTCCTGATGAGAGGTTTGGGGATTAATTTTAACTTCAATGGGGATGCCATTTAGCAAATATCTAAAATATATAATTAACACATATATCAAACACTACTTTTTCCCCTCAATAATATTGAAACAATGCAATTTTAAGCTTATTGTTACCCAAGATGGATACATGAGCTTCTCAATATAAAATTAAAGGATCAAAGGGAAGCTGGTTTGTGAACAATGGATTTTTTTGTAACATTAAATAAATTCACCAGATTCTTAGCTGGTTGAAATTCCACTGGTTCTGACTATATTTAACTCCTGTGTTCTTCACTAACTTTCTTTTAACAGTTTGCGCTTTTTTTTACTTTCACAAATGGCAATGTGTCTACCATACTATGTGATGTTTTTAAATTACTTCTAGGACTTTTGAGTTTTCTTCTTCTTATTTGAAAGTCATTTTTATTCAAATATGAAAGAGCTTTTATAATGTATTCCATTAGTAAGCTGTAGCAAATAAATTTCTTTTGGTAATGCAGTTGGAAATTGGCTCAATCATGTATTAATTATTAATTTTATTGGAATTACACATTGAAGAGTTTCCATATGCACGTTTGAGTTAATCTCATGGCTTTGCCGGATCTATAATACCACATAGTTAACTTCATGGAAACCCATAAAGCCTTGACCTTTATGGGTTGGAAAGAACTTGGAAAGAACTTCAGGGATTACTTAGCTTGTTGTGCAGTTCCTGGTTTCGTTTACATGGTCCCTGGGACCATATAAAAATTGCTGCTATTTTAATGAGTCTTTGTTTTCCTTTTAATACTTCATAAATAATTATTTTTGAAATCTAAAAACATGAATTTGGAACAATAAAAATGGGTGGAGAAATGCAAATGCTTGCTGTTTTTGCTTATTTATTATTTGTTTATTTGCACTATTGAGGTTTGAACTCAGTGCCTTAAGCTCACTAGGTAAGAGGAGCTTCACCATTTGAGCCATGCCCCCAGTTTTTTGCTCCTAGTTTGTTTTTCATATAGGGTCTTGTGCTAACTTTGCCTAGGCTAGCCTCAAACTGAGGAGGTATGTGTGCCACCATGTCTGGCTTGTTTTTTTGTGGGGGGCAGTACTGGGGATTTGAACTCAGGGCCTTGCACTTGCTAGGCAGGTACTTACCTCATGAGCTACTCCCAGGCCCGTTGGTTATTTTTGAGATAGGGTCTCATTTTAAGCCTGGACTGGCCTGGACTGAGATCCTCCTTTTATGCTTCCTTACATAACTGGATTGACAAGTCTGTGCTCACTATACCTAGTCATTGGTTGAGATGGGGTCTTGTGAACCTGTTTCCCAGATTGGCCTTGAGTCATGATTTTTCCAATCTCTGCCTCCTGAGTGGCTTGAGCCACCATGCCTGGCCCTTGCTTGTTTTTGAGACAAGGTCTTGCTAACTTTTGCCAGAGCTGGCCTAAACTAGAATCCTCCTATCTCCACTTCCTGAGTACCTGAGATTATAGGTGTGTACCACCAAGCCTGGCCCCAAGTATTTGATTTTGGATTAATATATGTAGGACAGATTTTTTTTCAAATCAAAGGAAGAAAAATAAATGTTAATCTGTGCAGAGTACCTTAGAATGGCTTCACCTCACGTGAGTTAGAGAAGACTAACAAATTCTCTTTCTTTATGGTAATTAATAATTTATTATGGATTTTACCTCTGATGAATGCAAAGTTGGAGTGATAAAATGGGTACCATCCATTAAAAATAAATTCAAAGACTTACACATTTACTGGACCCTAATTTTAGAATTTGATAGAAGCTGAAATGATTGAAATTCATACTTTAATTTGCTTAAATGATGATGAAGACTCTGTGAAGGAAATAAAGATAACTTAGTAATAAAGAGCATCTTTAGAATTCTACTTTGGGGCACTCAAGGAGAGGGATTTAGTAACTACTAGAATGCCAAATACTGTGGACAAAGAACAAATCTGGGGACTTGGGAAATGGGCAACAGAAAGGTCAGCAGCATGAATAATTATTATTTGTATTACAATTATTTGTTTGAGTTTATTTTACCCTCATTTTGATAAGAATGAGATTAAAAAGAAGGATATGTGATATACTGGGTGATGGCCAGATATGTGGAAATGCAGGGGTGTAGATGTGGTAAGGAAGAAGAGGGTCCATTGAGCTCCTTGGAGGATACCTGAAATAAACTTCCTCTAATTGGTAGCTTGTAGAGGGCCAGCTCTGTTTCTTCACACTGGTGACCATGTTGGAGACTATAGAACTCCAAGGACATTAAGTGGGTAAATAAGGGGACAGTCCCTCCAGGCTCAAGTACGAGCCTAGAAATACTAGGGGAAACATGAAGTATTAATGATGGTGAGCTCTTCTGAAAGGCTTTGCCCAGCACAGTGGGCCTCAGTGTGTAGAATTCAGAGATAGGAGAAGAGAGACAAAACCGGCCATGGAGTAAACTTTAGGATGAAGCCGCATTTTAATGAGACTTATGTTGATGACTTACTTCTTTCTTTAAGGATATTGAAGTGCATAACATTTTAGTTTCTTTAACATAATTCCAATTACAGAGACTTAAAATATCCCTGATTTGTTATTTTATTATAGTTTTCAGAAGCAATGAAAGGTAAAATACCTTCTCACATGGGTACTACTCACTCTAGCCCTGTTTTTATTTTACCATTGCCAGGAAAGCTCAGGAAAGGGAGAACATGTGTGGTTTGGAGCAGGTAACAGAAAGTGTCCTGGGTCCATATCAAGTAGAGAGAATATAGGATTCCTCTTTCTCCCTCAAAAAAGCGTTGGGCAGATAAAATGGTTTTGTCTCTTATCCTAGACATTATCGATGATACTCATGTGTGTAAAAACAGAGCTAGGACTCTAAGGATCAGAGCTCTTAATTTCTTGTATTCTGTGGTAGGTATCCTTGTTCACTTACAAATTTAAGAATGACAAAAGGGGGTCTGTTTATCATTCCCATGTCTGTTTTGCATCTGAAGATACCCAGGGTCTTTGAGAGATAAAAGGATCAGTGTCCTTCACCCGTGCACTGATCCTGCCCTATGTCGCCTTGCAAGTTGGTGGATACCTGTCAAAGATGGTGTTTAAGACATTCCTGGTCTGGTGTTAGGGGATGGACCTGAACCTCTCAAAGTCCTTTACAACTGTATGACTCTAACATTACAGCTTTTCTGTGGCTGTGTTGGTGACCCAGATGGTCACATCATAATCTCTATTCCCGTATTTTATTTAAATTCTTTTTAATTGACGTGCTATGTATTAACATTATCACCTACATTTTTCTTGAAAACTCTGTTGGCTTCTATTCTTATAACTCAGTTCTTTCGAGAGCTCTAGTGCACTGAAACGATTAATGTAAACATTAAATTCAAGTCAATCAATTGAGAACCGCATTTCTAAGTAGTGTAATAAGCCATTTCATTTATTTTCTTCACTTACTCTCATTTAATTCTGACAAATCCTGAGAGTATGGGAAATGATGAAGTTCTCAGAGAGGCAGGAAAATGACAAACAAATTCTACTTATTTTTTAAAGGATGGAAACTTGAGTTCAAACAGACAATTTCCTTAAGGGCGTAAACCACATAGGTGGCATTGGCAAAGATCCTGTCTCTGCACAGTGGTCCTTTCACTCAGTGAGACATGGCAACCTTAGCAATGCTGTGTGAGACTGCCATGTTGTTGCAATGCACTGCGCTTTGATTATTTCTCTATAGTCATTGCTAGGTTCTAGCATGGTTTTGAAGCATCAGTGTGTGCTATGATGAATTATCTAGTAGGACAAGACTTCTTGCAAAAGGAAAAGAGAAGACAGATTGACTTAAGGGACAAATGGTTGATGACTCCTCTGGACTTTCTGATCTGGGAGGGGAGTAAGGGAGGCTTGGAACCTTTCGTGCAGGTAGTTAACCCTTATGTAAAGCCTGCTGGATTTCAACCATACTGACATCAATAAATTCCCTTTTGATTCACATAAAGACATTTTCAAATAAGTTCCTATGAAAGCCATTACAGAATGTGACTTGGCATAAAAGATGCTGCTTACTTTCTTAGAATGTAATTAAAACTTCTTCGAAAAAGACCTTATGTGTCTATTTGATCCAAAGGAGGTTTAAGTCTGTTCGTAAAATTAAATCCAAATTGCAGGGGACTTCACTCTCTAGAACTCTTACTCCCAGTGATACAAAATTTAAACTAGCCCAGAGACACTTGATACTCTTATCACTGAGGATTATTTCATATTTCTAAAGTATCACATTTTAAAACTTTGATTCTGAAATGTTAACTCTTTTTTAAACCCAAATGGGATCATGCTACATATATCACAATACAATTTTCATTTTTTAAACTTGATGTATTTCAGAACCTACTTGCCTAATACTTAAACTTGGACATAGAAATACATTTGTGGAAGTGGAGGTGGTGGGCAGAAGTGGAACTCTTCATACGAACATTTGTTTTATTCTTAACCAAGCTAGGTAATTTAGGGTCAAGTGGCTTTAAGGTCAAGGACAACCTCAATATTTAATCAATTACTAAATGTACGTGTGCAAAAAACTATGAACTGCACAGAGGGAAATAAAATCAACTTAAAACTCTGTATTTATTTCCCACTTCTGCTCCAAAACTCATTAGTCTTATAAATAAAAACCAAGGAAGCCCCAAACTTCAACTAAAAAACCAACCATGAAATTAAGCAACCAACCAGCCACCAACTGGGTTTACTTCATTGGTGTATAGGGACAGAGGATTGGTGGGCTTGCTACATCCTGCTTCCAATGCCTTCAGGCTTAGGTGAGTTATCACAGGCATTTATTAAAAAAGACCCACCTTAGTGGAGGCTG